AGAACACATTTTCTTTCATAACACTGTTAAGGTTATTTCCAGTCATAATTCAAATGATGATAACCCACATGCATTATCTTGCATTTATTATAATTAAAACCCATCTACTATTTATTTTCACAACTCACTAAATGATCTAAATTCTTTTGTAAATCAGCAGCATCCTCTTCACAGCTAGAAACACCCAAGACTTTAATATCATGAGCAAACTTAAGTAATTTATAATTAATTAAATGCATTATTTTACATTTTGGTTTGCCGACATCATCAGAGGGCTTAACATACATTTGTTAGCATAACTGTGAAATGGTAAATTTGTAGCATTTCCCTGGGGCTTACACATAAGTAGCTACATCATTGTTTAACTATTACGTTGCCATTGTAAGTATTAAATATGCTAACCACATTTTCTGTTGGTATTTAAATAATTAAAAAACTTGAAACAAAGTATCAGTTGATTACTGTAACTTTAAAAATTAAAGTGTACTTTTTAAGACACGCAAAAAAAATTCTACAAATGTCTTTAAACTTTTAGTTATAAAAAATGACCACAAGTGAACTAAAAAAAAAAGTAATAATTAAATTAAAACATAATTGTTAGTTTACGTGATAGTGTATAAACTTACTAATTCATGTTTTTATCAATTTTACAGGAATTGATCTTCAAAAATAAACCTGCAAGATGTCATATGAAGAGCGATTTTGAATCACCACGAACAAACAATGTCATATTGCCATGCTGGGTCAGTTGATAAATTTCTGTCCAGAAATAAGCTGAATGATGTATTTACTGATTATTAAAGGTGAAGTATTTATGACATGTATTAAAAAAACAACAAGAAACCAATTTTATGAGGGTTGTGTCATAGCAGTAGCATGACCTGTATTTTTTTTTTTTTGGTCCATACTTAGTGACAGAAACATTTATCAAGTTGGAACAGTAATAAAAGTTAGAGTTTTAAAATAGCTGTATAATGCAAAGGGGTTATTTAAAAACAAAAAAAGTGACAGTCACAGTAGCAGGTGTAGCTGGGTGAAAAAAAAACCTGAAGGAACATCCACGGTGTAAAACTATGACACGTGTTAATAGTTCGATGGTTTGGTGTTAGTGTAGACCTCATGGTCTCTGATGATTGAGTCATATGATGTAGAAAAAAAAGTTTATTTTGTTATCTGGTTAGAACTTGAATTGTCTGAATCATGAAGTCATAAAAAAAAATAACATAGAAGTTTATTGTTCTGTAATTGATAATACTTGTAAAAATGAAGAACCCAACTAAGTATTGGTATGGGTAGGATGTTGTTGTAAGCTAATATGTATGAAAAGAACAAACTTAAATAATGTTGCCCAAGAGGTTTTATTAGTGACCGACATGAAATACGAGTAACATGATTGAACTGTTTCCTACCTCGGAGATTAGCCTGCAGTAATTGAGTGTGTGTAAAGAAACAATTAGTTACCAAGTTTGATTTTTTTAAATAAAAACATTATGACTTCTTCTGTCTGTGTTGCCTTAAGGTTTTCTTTAAACACTATGGTGGCTACGTTGTTATTGTCCAACAAATATCTTTGTTGTTACATATAAACGACTTTACTCTCTTCTTGATTTACTGTAGGTGGTGGACAATTCTATGAAATATTTGTTCATAATATCCCCGTCAAATGCACCGAGGTTATTTGTAAACTTTAGATTCTGTTTATTAGTTTATACGACAATGTCAAAGAACCCAGAATAGTTGTTTACCCATTTTTCAATCGAGCCCAACTTTTTCTCTTTTCTACAATGTCAGAAAACAAAGCTGAAAATGTTTTATGAACTTGAACACGCGAGTCTTGTGCTTATGCTCCAAATTTCAGAAGATTGCAATAATATTAGTAAATAGTGTCAATAATAATGTTTATACGAAAACGTGTGTTGTGCGTTAACATAATATTATTTATGTCCCATAGATGGCAGTGCATATTTGCTGTAAGAGCCAAGGTGATTCAAGTACTTGGAGTCGGAAGAATGGTTGGTCGTTGCCCCTGCATCCTCTTCAAGTGCTGGCATGGTTTTTCTTGCTTCTCTTTGCGGTGTTATACTTTGGTGTTCTGGTTTCTTCCATTCCCTGTGGACTTTGGCAGATAATGGCTTATGTTGTATCCTTTGATTGTTGATCAACTAAACAATGATATTACGTGTGGAGCTGAGCAATTATATTTTATTAATCAATTATTAAAGATTTCTTCAGACCATGAGACATACAGGCAATTTAAAAAACAAAAAAAAGTGGTGGTGGTTGCTGCCAACCAGTTGCTTTCCCTCTTGTCGTCACTTCAAAATTAATGACAGTGAAAGATTGCCTGAAAGAAAAAAGCAGACATGGTGAGCGAGTTTAATGGCAATGTGAACTGAGACCCTTGAATCACAAGTGTGTGTGTGTGTGTAAGGCTAAAATTGGGAAGAGCACAGAGATAGCCCATTGTGTAGCTTTGCGCATGACAACAAACACGCAGTATAGCAATTTTTTCACATTAATTTTGATTAGTTGATTATTTTCGTGACAGTTGATTTAATCGATTGTTGGAATAATAAAAAACTAGTAACGAGAAGCAACCATTTTGATTGATTGATTTGATCATAATTTTGATTACTCTATTAGCTTACATGACACGACGTAATTGCTAGCGACAGGTAATCAAATAATGAATTAAATAACTCTGCTTAAGTTACATGTGTATATAAAAAAAAAAAGACGAATATTCAGAGTAACCAGTTAATTAAAGAGATACATTATTATTGGTGTCATATTTCAAGCTTTATGTGGGAACAACCAGACTTTAGTTAAACAAGAGGGAATCCTTAATAGCTGTGGTACTTGAAATTTTTTTAGGCAGGATTAAAGTAAATTAAGCTAAGAGACTTTTTTCCTTTCTATTAGCTATATTTTAATGCACCAGCAATACAAAGCATGGGGTGTACGTATACCCGATTCAATTTTATTACTCATCAGGATCTCTACCCACGTACTCTCAAATTGAAATTCTTTTAAACAGGATATTAGAGTAATGTATGAGACCTTAGTTGTGGTGAAATACGTCAATCGAAAGGTTTCACCTCTTGAGTCCAAAACTGTAACTAGATCTCAAATCGTTTAAATTAAAATAGAGCAATGAGCTAAAAGTTTGTACAACAGCAACATAAAACCTCGGAGCCGTTCTATGATCTGATATGCCGTGGCTAAAAATAGTAAATCGTTGATTTGGTATATGCCAGAGAATGATAAAAGACTTTCGACTAGCAGTTTAAGTATTAATTTTCCCCGTTAGATTATTACTTAGAAAAAATTTAATTGAAAATGAAATCTGTTTTGAAGCTACATTTTTTTTTCAAAGTTAACCTTGTAATACAACCAAATCCTTTTTATCTGAATGTTCTTGATACATGTATGCTTTGTTTTGCTGTATTTAGCTTGAGTGTAGTCCAGCTACTGATTTAGTTACTACAAGAGTCTACGGTGCTCCAGTCATTTGTAGTCTACTGATGTCTTAACCGTAAGATTACCAGTGGGGTTCATACGGATCTTATTGGCTTTTTTATACACATTTCTCTGAACTATTTATGCACCAAACTGCTTGTGAGTTACAGGGTCCCTAATAACGTACGAGCTTGGTAATTTAATCGATAACCTAAGAACGGCGATTACGTCGACTAGTGTCTCATAAACTAATTGATTAATCGAAATCACAATTAAATTTATTGCCATGAATGTAATCAGCTAATTGAAATTAGTGTTTCATTATTACTGTTTTTGATTATTTTAACAATCAATTAATCAAAACTCCTAATTATATCGATTGTCAAAAAAAATAATCAGCTAATTGAAATTAGTGTTTCATTATTACTGTTTTTGATTATTTTAACAATCAATTAATCAAAACTCCTAATTATATTGATTGTCAAAAAAAATAATCAGCTAATTGAAATTAGTGTTTCATTATTACTGTTTTAGATTATTCAAAAAATGAGTTAATGAAAATTTCAATTAAATTGATTATTATGAAAATAATCAAGTAATTGAAATTATGGTTTCCAGTTATTCCATTTTTTTATTGTTCCAACTATCCAAGTAACTGAAATATTGCTATTATGTTTGTTTGTTAAGCATGAAGCTCCACAATGGGCTCTCAAACTGCCCAATCTTAGGCTTAGAAGTTGTTTTTTTATTTCAAGATTGCTTAACTTTAGTGATTCAGTGGTAGGCTGATGATTCCAGGGTCAATTCCCATTGCTACTAAACTAACCCATCACCCTGTCTTTGTCATGACAGAACTACTAAAGCTATTTACCACTGTCACTAGTTTTGAACTGATGACTATAGGGAATGTAATTGTTCGGCCACAACCACAACCAACTTTGTTTTTGTTCATATGTATGATGGTTTGAGGAACATTGTATAAATTGATTAATTGAATATAATCATTTAGCAAATACAACTAATCCACTGGTTATGTATGACTCACACAAAATATTTAATAAAAAAAAAGTCATAAATACTGCAATTAATACTAGTAATAACTGATATATGTCTCCGTTTTTTATCTAAAAAAAAAATGTGATTTCACCCAATTTTTCATCATTCCTTTACACTGCATGTTGTAACAGGCAAAAACATTAAATTGATTTAATATGATGTAACATATGGACCTTCATTTGAAGTGAGCAGTATTTAAATAAGTTGAGAGTTCCATAGACGTATTTTTAGTGTCATAAATATAAAATATCTATCTCGTAAAGAATGATTTTTGAAATGGCTGGTTCAATTTTCTTAACACATTTTCTAGGTTTTAAGTGTTGTCTACGTTATTCACATTGTAATTCACGTGATCGGTGTGAGTCTCGACCCTGCAGACCCCAACGTTCTTGCCAAAAACGTTAGCGGACCGTGCCTCGCGTTTGATCGCAGCACTCACACACATGTGATAGAGAATCAGTTGTGTTACATCTGTGGGGTAAAAGTGTAAGTGTCGTGTGTGTTGCTTTTGTAAATCACGTTAGGTATCGAATCAGATTGATTTAACTTCTGTAGAGGGTACAACTTTATGATTTTGTAAACTCAGACATAACTTCTGTTAAAGAAATGTTATTTTTCTATTAAAGAAATAGATAAATGGAATAGTTTGTCTTCAAGTAAGGTAGAGTCTGAAAAGTTGGATATTAAGAGTAGTGGACCAATGGAATTGTTAATGTTCAAGTATTATAGAAGTTACAGAAGTTTAATAGGAGACTGGATGAGTATTTTGGAGATTAGAGTCGAACACAAGAGAAGGTTTTTTTTATGTAACTTGGTGTAGGGTGGTGGTTGAAAATAGGATGAGCCAAGTATCCTTCTTTCTTGGAAATGTTTATGTTTGGTAGGCTAGGGGGATGTAATTGCTTATCTGGGTTGGTAGGCTTCATCTTTACATACTCTTAGGTATTAAAGAAAAAATCTATTGCAGTTTACAAATTTTGAGACTTCAGTCGTTTACTTGGAAAAGTTAAAAGGTGATTTGAGGAAATGAGACTTGTCTGAATTCATTAAAGGAATGATTAGTTTGAAATTTTATTACGTACTCCAAAATAGAGGGGGAAATGTAGTATGTCATTAAGAACACGTAATATTTAAAGAATCAGATGATTGACACAATGTAATACATTGTTGTTTAGGCCCGGCATGGCCAGGTGGTTAGAGCGCTCGACTCGTAATCTGAGGGTCGCGGGTTCGAATCCCCGTCACACCAAAGATGCCAACCTCCGCCTTTGCCTGGTCCAAAGTCCAGGATGAGAAAGGAGGAGGGTTGGGTGCGGGGCTAGCAACTCCACCCCGTAAAAAAACAACCTGCTACAAGTAACTGCAACAACACCTTCCGTTGGCGAGGTGTTGTTGCGGCCCTATGCTCCACTGGGAGTTTACAGGAATAACAAAAAAAATACATTGTTCTTTACATGATAACGAGTATTGCTTTTGACTAGGCATAAGAAATGAGGAAGGAGTAAAAAGGCTGAAATAGTTAAGGGGGGGCAGGCCCCCTGAAACTTTTACATTTTCAAAAGAATAGAAGAAAATGGCTTAAAACTAATAAAAAAGTTAATATATTTTCAGTTTCCAACAAGTATCGAAAGTTTTAGTACTTTGAACCAACTCAAATGTGTTTCCCTACCACCATTGAAACAATACAAGCGGTCGTATATAGTCAGGTGGGGCACTTATCATTTTACTGTCTAAACTTAAACTCGTTCTTGGCTCGATATTCTGACATTTTATCAGTTGTAAACATGGCATGTTGAGAAGAAGGAAGTAACAGTATAATCTATATTTGTTCTCCAATTTTTCTTCAGAATTTCACACAAAACACAAGACCACCCTGGGGATAGTAAAAAAAAAATATGGAATTCTGCTGATTGGTGAAAAATTCTCCTGCTAGTTTGATTTTGAACTAAATCGAACAGCCTTATCAAACTGGTTTTTACTTAAAGCAATGGAAATTCTTTTTTTCTTTTAATTTGGGGTAATATTTCATGAATTCCTTAACTGTTCTTAAAAAGACTTGATTATTCACAAAAATAAATTGTAATTAATAGTAGAACACATGTAATATATGAAGAAGATGTTTAAAGATAGGAAAAATATTACTCATTTTATTTCAAATAATTTGTTATGAAGTTACATAATTACATTCCTGTGTTACATTTTAACTTTTTATTTCAAATGATCAACTAGACTTTATATAATGACTGACAAAGTCATAGTTATTATAATTAAGCTTTTTGCTCACATCACTTCCATATAGTGCTAAGCATAGTATTAATATCACTTCTGTGTTAAATTAATTTATGTAAATTAAAAGGAAGAGAAAGGTGAATGTTAATCATGCACTAGTTATGTTCTTTCAAAACAGTATCTATGATTTATGGCAGAAATAATTTACTTTGTCCATCAGATCTTTAATTAATGTCTTTATGATACTGGAAATTTTTGTAGAATAATGAACTTGTCATGAATGATAGCTTAAAGTGTCAATCATTGAGTGAGGTCCAGAGATTTGTTGAAAGATTTACCCTCTAGTGAAGCTTGAAGTGTTATTTTATACAGAGAGATGTTTGGATTAAAAGATAGAAGAAATAGTGCATAACCCATGAAATTGTCAGTAACTAAAAATTTACTGTACTTGTATAACTAAATATTTTTTTGATCTTTTTGTTAGTATACTGTTATTTTATATAATTTTATAAAGTTCATTACTACTTATCTGTTCCATATATTTATATACAGACCTTGAAAGTATAAAATCTCTAGCTTTTTAGTCACCTTGAATTCAAAGGTTTTTTAGGGCACTTTTCTTTTTGAGAATGTTACACATTAAAAAGATTAAGCAATTAGATACAAATTCAATTGCAGTTCTATTATAATATATAAAAAAAACTTAATGTTTGTGAGGTAATTCTAAAGTGTGTAATGCAAATAATTGTAACAATATTAAGATACCAATTCAATTACAGTTCTATTATAATATACAAAAAAACTTAATGTTTGTGAAGGTAATTCTAAAGTGTGTAATGCAACTAATTGTAACAATATTAAGGATGTTAATATTAAGATACCAATTCAATTACAGTTCTATTATAATATACAAAAAGACTTAATGTTTGTGAAGGTAATTCTAAAGTGTGTAATGCAACTAATTGTAACAATATTAAGGATGCTATGCTTTTATTTTTAAGTAAGCTTGTCAAATATTGAAGGGGCTAGGAATTTAGATCATTTAACCAATTCTCTCATTAACGTTAAATATGTATCGGGTATACTAGTAAAACAAATTATCTATGAAAATATAGAAGTACTTAATTGTTATTTTTGGCACGTTTGAAAGCTAATCAATGAAATTTGTTCAAAACTTTAATTAAAAAAAGTTTAGACATTCTTCATTTAATAATAGATTTTATAAGTATCTTTGTCCTTACAAGTTCTAAAAGTAATATTTTTCTTTTTTCTTTTATGGGCAATTAAAACATTGTATGTTGATATTATCCTTGTTTTGAGCTGGATTATGGAGTTTTAGAGGAAACTGTCTACCTGCTATCCATAACATGTAATGTCTCATGTCTGCGTTTACATAACAATAAGAAAGACTATTGTTATAAAAACAGCTGAATATTAGAATAATCCACTAATTTTGTAAGAAAACTTGATTCTATGTATATATGAATTAAAATGTAAAAAATTCTTTGTTTGTGTGTTACCCAATTAAAAGAGTGTAGTTGCAAAGTTTCTAACCAAAGAAATAAAAAATACTTGCAGTAAAAATAATTATTAAAATAAGAAACAGTCTGAGGAAACAGTCAAAATGTCAAGTGATTTTTAGTAAGTGCTAGATCATATGTGAAGAACGTCTTTAACAGAATATATTAAAAACAAATAATTTATACCACATATAAATAGATTATATTGTTTATAGTTATGGATAAAATTTTATTATTTTCTACGTGGTTTTACTTATGTAATTGTCATATTAAAATTTATAGTGGTTCAGAATTACATATAAAAATTACATATTCTCTAGTTTTTTCATCTTGCTTAGGTATCAGTTAGATATAAACAAAGTGTGTGTGGGTCATTTCTCTCTCTCTCCTTATTTTTTCAGTAGAAGCATCTACTAGTTACAAAGTGAATAGTCAAAAATAAAGTTTGCTGAAAAGGTTTGATATATTACTGTCCTCTGGAGTTATTGTCAGTGTTGCACATTCACCATCTTACCAGCTAAGCTGAAATATCTGTCTAGTACAAAAAACATTTTACATTTGAGAAATGAGAAATTATATGAATTGAAAGTTTTTCTTGTCTGATATCTGTTATATTTCATGTGTAAAACAATATAATTTCTTCTTATGAAACAGTAGTCAAGCAGCTTAGTGTATTATAACTACATGCACAGCATCTTATGTATGAATGACATACCATTAGATGTAGTTGTTTCTGCATTGTTTTTACTTAAAGAAACAAATGTAATATTTTAACCTTATTATGTACAATTGTTTCCTTCTGAGCTGGTTAAGAAAAAAATCGGGAAGTTTAAAAAATGATAAAGCTCCTGGACCAGATAATATTTGCACAAGGATTTCGAAGGAGGTTAAAGATTGGATGTGTGAGCCACATGCTACCAATTTTTCTCAGTTCTTGAATAGTGGGCAGAGGATTGGAAGTTAGCTAATGTAACTCCTCTTTTCAAGGGAGGTGATAAAAATTTTCCCAGTAATTATAGACCCATTAGTCTTACATCAGTTGTGGCAAAAACTTTGGAAAGTCTGTTAAAAGATGCTTTGCAAAGTCATTTAACAAAGTTTAGAATTTTATTGGATAGTCAACATGGTTTCACTAAGGGAAAATATTGCGAATTGATTGATATATGAGATGTCTTCGTATGGAATAGTATGAATACTTGTTTTACTTTCCAGCTGGTTGAGGTATGTGATTGTTGAACAAGAGGTACGACTGGAAGATTTATCTTAAAGAACCCATACCACTTTGGCGTCGTTACCAAACGGGGATCCTTCTTGATTATGTTGCGCGCCGTTTGGGAACGTGGATGATTTTTGGGTTCGTGGATTCTTACTTGTTACAAGATAACCTCTTTATGGATGGTCCTGGTGCCCCAACTTGATCCATATTCCATTGTTTTGCAGTTCCATTAAGTAGCAGAGATACCCTAGTCTTGGAAATTCTAGGCACCCAATTTAAACACATCTTTAATTTATGAATATTTTGTGTTGGAAAGGGCAGATACATGCCCTTCCAAAAAGCAATCAGTTTTCGGTGGTATGTTACTACCTACCAAATGACATTGTCATAATGTAGTTGTGGTACATTCCGTTCCACAACGACATGATATTGGCGGCGGATTTTACGTTACTTGTTGATTTTCATACTAAAAACTTAATATAAAATACTCAACTCTGTAAATTACACCATACTCTGCTCAGTTTGCTGTGACTTATAACCAGTCTACGAGGCTAACAAAATCTGAAAACAAGCGTCGTTATTAAATCATCTACGGAGACTAGTAATTCAACTTAAAACTAATAAATATCTCACAAGGTTAATAAAGGAACAGAGGAAACAGTCAAAATCTAACTTAAGCTTCAAGTCACGAAACCTTGCATATAACTTAAGCAATAAGAATAACAGCATCATCAATCTCGTTTTTCTAATCTTAAAATCAATATTCCTGGCGCCTTTTTATTTTCAT